TTTTTTTTTTTTTTTTTTGTCTTTTTTCCGTGTCCGGCTACGGATCGCAACCCTCAGTGTTGCCCCCGTACCGGACCGGGGACTGGCGACGGGATCGCAAGCCTCGGCGTTGCTCCCGCGCCTCGCTCAGCCAGTGAGCGGGAGCCGGTCTGTACGTGGGATCCGAACCCTCGGACGGGAGCGCTGCCGCGCTTCCCAAGCGGCGCACTATCCAGTGCGCCACCGGGCCGGCCCATATATGGTTGGTTTTTTAACATATGGATCTACATGTGAAATGTAAATGGTCTATGATGAGGATTTGGAAAAATGCAGTTTGTCAAAAAGCTACTTCAATTTTCGGGGAAAGTTTGACATATTGCCTAATGTATGATTATATATAACCACATGAGAAAGGAACATGCCATTTCAAAAAGTACAAGGAACTTCCATCAGCTTGAAGATTCAGACTATAATTTTGTTTAAAATGCCTTTAAATAGTAACTTGTTCATGGTTAAGTACTTTAACAACCACGACTCCTCCAATAATAATAGCTACAATTTTTTTGAGCTGAGCAGTTACCAGTCCCGGGCCTGTGCCTGGCACTTTACACACTTTATTTCATGTAATGCTCATAACAACAGTTTGAAGTAGATAGTATTATCTATTACCACTTAACATTTTTTTCTCTTTTTTTCTTTTTTAATTGTGGTGAAAGCACAACCTGAAAATTACCATCTTAGCCCTCTTTTAGTGTACATTCAGTAGTGTTAAATATGTTTATATGGTTGTGCAACAGAGCTCCAAAACTTTTTCATCTCACAAAACTGAAACTTGGTGCCAATGAAACAACTTACCACTTCTGCCTCCCCCCAACCCCTGGCAACCACCATTCTACTTTCTGTTTCTGAGTTTGTATCCATTCCCATTTTGTAACTGAGGAAACTAAGGCACAGAGAGCTTAAGAAACTTGTGCAAGTCTGCCCTATAGCTTGGAAGTATAGAACAGGGATAAAACTTGTCTGTATCTGATCCAAAGCTTGTACTCTTGAAGGCTTATTGATTAAAAAAGTGTTCTCTGAGTGCATTCTGTGACTCCCTGAGTCAAAATCATAGGGTGGAGTAGGGTGGAGGTGACTTATAAAATGCAGATTTCTGGGCCCAGTCCTACATGGTTTGATGCAGAAAGCCTGGATGTTGGCCAGAAATCCTCTGATGATTCTAAAGCACATTCAAGTTTGAGAACCTCTGTGTTTGAGGTCCTCCGGGTAGAAATGTTTAGGCCAGCTTTGACATGCAGGACTACAGAGTGAAGCTCTTCTAGCCTTTTTTTTTTTTTTTTTTTTTTTTTTCCCGGCC